CACTTCACGGAACACAGTAACACAAACATCCTGTCTCCGTCACTTCCTACTCTGTGGAGTTAAAACATATACCGTCATGTGATAGACAACAATCCCATGGCTGCAATCATGGAGCAGGAACTCTAACAGGATCCAGAAGCACCCCCAGGGTTGCATACCCACTCCTGCAGAGGGAGGGCAACCCCATCAAGAACAGGCCACCTCCCACCCACCTGGTCTACGGAACCACCCACTAACAGTGCCTTAGTCTTATCTGGATTGAGCTTCAGTTTGTTGGTTCGTGTCCAGTCAATTACCAAGGCAAGACAATGGTCCAGCACATCCACTGCCTCACCTGCAGACATAAAGAAGTAGAGCTGTGTGTCATCAGCATATTGCTGACAACATACCCCAGTACTCTGGGTGATCCCACCAAGTGGTTTCATGAAGATATTAAACAGCATGCGGGATAAAATTAAACCCTCAGGAACCCCACATTGAAGGCTCCATGGGGCTGAAGTACACTCTCTGAAAGTGACCATCAAAGTAGGACAAGAACCACTGCAAAGCAGTGCCACCCACCCCTAACTCTTACAGCCCCTCCAGAATGATACCATGTACCAATGGTATTGAATGAGGTCATGGAAAATTAACAAGGGCACATTCCCCTGTCTCTTTCCTGCCATAGGCCATCATACAGCGTGACCAAAAGAGTTCCTGTGCCAAAACCCAGGCCAAAACCCTTATTTACATTTGTGTTTACTTAGGGACATTCATCAATCAATGTCTAGTTTTGAGAGAGATCTACATTGTTTCTGCCACCCCTATTTGGAATGCTGGAATCAGACTATGATCAACAATTTTCTCATGGGAATAGATAATAAGTAACTCTGCTTATACAGTACTGTAAAAAGGTAAAGGTAAAGGAGCCCTGGATGGTTAAGTCCAATCAAAGGCGACTATGGGGTATGGTGCTCATCTCGCTTCAGGTCGAGGGAGCTCGCATTTGTCCACAGACAGCTTTCTGGGTCATGTGGCCAGCATGACTAAACCGCTTCTGGTGCAACGGAACACCGTGACAGAAACCTGAGCACACGGAAATGCCATTTACCTTCCCATTGCAGTGTTACCTATTTAAATACTTGCACTGGCATGCTTTCGAACTGCTAGGTTGGCAGAAGTTGGGGCAGAACAATGGAAGATCACTCCATCACACGGATTCAAACTGCTGACCTTCCGATCAGCAAGCCCAAGAGGCTCAGTGTTTTAGACCACAGCGCCACCCGCCCCTTACCATGCAGTACTGTACCTAGGAATATGATGCTTTAAATTCTATTTCTGACTTTTCTTTCACAACTTGTAGGAAAGCATTTTGGGAGATTGATAAAATCCAAAAAACAATACAGCCCTTGTAGGGGAACCGTGTTCTTTGAAATAGAGAGAAAGAGAGAAAATGTATGCATATTGTATTGGAATTAAGTCATTTTGATTTTTTCTTTAAAGGAAATAAGTGTATTTTAGGATTCAGTGAAGTGTTCTGTATTAATATTTCAGACTTGCTTGCAAGTAATTGATTTTTGATGCAAAGCGCTGTATCTGCATTGTTCAGGTTCTAAGTTATCAACAAGTCAAATTGATCTCTGCTGTTACAGAGGCTTATTTCACTTGAATTCATTCTCATTCAATCATCTTTTTTCCTTTTTAAAAAAATGATGCCATTTTATGCTGCACATCAAATCCTAAACTCTCACAAAAGGTATACAAAAACAATAGCAAAGCAAAACTTGATGCATTGGGAGTTTTGTTTCTTCCTCCCTCTCTCTCCCCTTTCTCAAGAGGATTGTTATTCATATGTTGCATGTGGTTTCACTTGGTTAAAATCCCAGGAATAGTAATTACTGAGGTCCCTGTGAAGAAAACCATAGCAGGAGTAACCCAGAGGCTCCTATGATAAATCATTGCTTCATTCTGAAGGATAATGTAGACAATGATACAAGCTGCACCATTTAAGCAGAAAGCCGATACGTTTTGTATTAATTCGTAGGCTAAAGATGGAAATGCACAAAGAGAATACACTGAACGCTGTATCCTCCCCAGCAGTTCTTCAGCAGGGTGCTCTCATCTCTGACATAAAAAAGAAGAATGCTCATTGGGAGTTCCTGTGGATTTGCAGTGTTTTTTTCCACCAGGATGGATCAACAGGGAGGAGGGATTTAACCTTCTTCCCTGCACACTTTCTCAAAATGAACCCTCCCTTGAAAAACTGACAGATAAAGTGGAACCTCAGTTCCCGAACGCCTCCATTGTAGCACGTTTTGGTTCTCGAACTTTGAAAACCCGGGAATAAATGTTCTATTTTCGAATGTTTTTCAGAACCTGAGTGTGTAATGCAGCTTCCTCTTAGTGTAAGAAGCTCTTGCAACCAATGGGAAGCCGCACCTCAGTTTTTGAACATTTTGGAAGCCGAATGGGCTTCCAGAACAGATTTCGTTCAAGAACTGAGGTACCAGTGTACAACATACGTATTGGTGTCTTCCCCTGCTTTAGGACTAACAGCAACTTGGAGATGCAATTCACATGCAGGAAAAACAGCACATCTCCATAGCACCGTGGAGGATCCTACAACTGCTTTTCCCTTCAGGGCCAAAAGGGGAAACATGGGAGTTCGAGCTGCAGATCTTCTAATGCCAGGTCTATTTTGGCTCTTACTGGACCATATCTCAGTGTACCAGCTGTAGGAACATGCAGTAATTGGTACAAAGTCCCATAGGAGGAAATAATGCACAAATTAATGGGGGAAGAAGTGTTAGATGCATTTCCCTGAACCAAAAGCCCACTCTAAAATGCCAACCATCTATTCAAGGGGAAGATGAAGAGGGAGCTCAGAATTCAGTTCCTCTTGCTCCTCCCTCCAAGTTCCCTAAGATAAATGATCGACATAATCTGACAAGGGCTGTGCATCAAACAAAGCCAATGTACGGCTTCCGCCTAAGGGAACGATGCATCCAGCTTTATAGTCGCATGGTGCACCTCTGCTAATATATGGGTGGAGAAACTGTGGCCCTCCAGATGTTGGACTCCAACAGCCATCAACCCCTAACCATGGCCAATGACCAGGGATGTTTGGAACTGGATACTCCTGCTCTAGTAGATTGGACTGCTGTTCAGAGTGACCTGTTTCTGCCTCATGCTGTAAATGTTCTGTGACTTAATGTGCAAGAGAGGTGTTGGCACAAAGCAAACATCTTGATTTGATCAAGGCCTTGTTTTCTTGTGATGGTGTAAGACAAGTTAATCCTTACTGCAGGAGGATATATATCATTATTTCAGGACACATTGCCATTCCTTCTGGTTTGTTGAAAACAGAAGGCTTAGTGCTCATGAAATAATACTTCTCCACTGATTGGATTTCCATTTCATATCCTGCTGAACAAGTTTTGGGTGGAGTGTGGGCATGCATGGGAAAAGCATGATTATGCAGTTATGTGATTTTGGTTGATAGCTTTAGCCTGGAGTCTTTTCCTTAAAGATGAGCTTATTATTCAAGTTCTGCTGAGAGCTGGAAGTGAGAGCTGGACCATAAAGAAGGCTGGTTGCCGAAGAATTGATGCTTTAGAATTATGGTGCTGGAGGAGACTCTTGAAAGTCCCATGGACTGCAAGAAGATCAAACCTGTACATTCTTAAGGAAATCAGTCCTGAGTGCTCATTGGAAGGACAGATCCTGAAGCTGAGGCTCCAAAACTTTGGCCACCTCATGAGAAGAGAAGACTCCCTGGAAAAGACCCTGATGTTGGGAAAGATGGAGGGCACAAGGAGAAGGGGACAACAGAGGACGAGATGGTTGGACAGTGTTCTCGAAGCTACTAGCATGAGTTTGACCAAACTGCGGGAGGCAGTGGAAGACAGGAGTGCCTGGCGTGCTCTGGTCCATGGGGTCACGAAGACTAAATGACTAAACAACAACAACAAGTACGTATCTAGTTATTTCTAAGAGTCTTCACTATAGTTACCCTAGTTGAGGGATTTTTGCAACATCTGGAGGGCAAAAGGTTCCCCACAGCTGTTACCTGGTTGGATTTTTGTCCCTCTAGCCTGGCACTGACTATTTTGTCTGTCAGCAGCTCTAGAGGATGTCAGCCAGGAGTCTTTCACAGCACTTGCTTCCTGATCCCTTTTAAATGAAGTGTCCTAGATCTTCTGTGTGCAAAACACAACTGAGCTATCATCCATTTCACTTCCACTTGGTCTTGCTTCGATGACCAAGGACTTCTCCAGAGGACGGATTTTAGGCTGTCCACATTGCCAGCCAACTCAATCTTGATGGATATTCTCCGGCTTTCACTCTGTTGCTTCCTCATAAATATTCCATTTTACAATATTCTACTCCTGATTCCTATTTAACAAAAGGTAATTGGATATTAACATTGCATAATTCACTTCATTACCAAGTGTGGTTTCTACTAATTGATACTCAGAAAACCCCATGTACTGTATAGGTCAACCCTGGATTTTGCTGAATTAAAATTAAATCTGTATAAGGCGAAGTTCTTGTTTTGAATTAGTGCCATTTAGATTTAAAACTCTGAAGGTTGTTTCATTTCCCTGACCAAATTCTTAAAAAATAAGCGATCCGTTTCTGCCACTGTTTCTCAAGAGACTTCTGTAGAGATGCCAGCTGTGGTAACACTAATACATAATACAGAGTCAGATCACTGGTCCACCTAGCTCAGTATAGTTACACCACTGATCCATCAAACTCAGTACAGTGGACCCTCTAGTTATGTACTGCTCTGGATACGTAACTTTCGGGTTATGAATGTGGCAAACCCGGAAGTGTATACTTCTGGGTTTCACCGTGCGCGCATGCGCAGAAGCAGCGCCTCTGCTTACAGACTTTTCAGGTTGTGGATGCACCCCTGGAACAAATTTAATTCATATCCGGAGGGTCCACTGTATTGTGCACACTGACAAGGCAGCAGCTCTCCAAGGTTTCAGACAGGGGACATTTCCAGCCCTAACTGGAGATACTGGGGATTGAACCAGGGACCTTCTGACATGCAAAGCAGATGTTCTACCACTGAGCTATGACCCTTCTCAATGATTCCCAGCATTTAACTTTAATGCTCCAAGTATGCATGTATGATGCATTTTCAGGATGAGAACAATGCCACTCAACTACAGTGGTACCTCGGGTTAAGTACTTAATTCATTCCGGAGGTCTGTTCTTAACCTGAAGCACTACTTTAGCTAATGGGGCCTCCTGCTGCCGCTGCGCCGCTGGAGCACGATTTCTGTTCTTATTCTGAAGCAGAGTTCTTAACCTGAAGCACTATTTCTGGGTTAGCGGAGTGTGTAACCTGAAGCGTATATAACCTGAAGCGTATGTAACCCGAGGTACCACTGTACTCCTAACGCCTTCTCACACACATTTCCAAGGTGGCCAGGGAGATAGGGGGAAGGTTAGGGCCAGATGTGCCAGCTTGCGAGGGCAATGGGGTGGTGGTGATATCATGCACATAGATAGCATGGGAGCATCACACCTCCCTCCCTAAACTGGGCAGAAGCTTCCTGGGCTTTGGGAAGGAGGCGCTAAGCTTTAATACTTTAATATTCCAATTTACCAGGAACATTTAGAGAACCAGCCTAGGCTCCCTAGTCCACTGACTACACACCACTGATGGCAATAGATTCTTTACCTGTGCATATGCACCCACACCTTGCAAGTGTGCTATTTCATTCATTCTCACAGCTGTGTCCACCCATTTTTCAGATAGAAGACTGAAGTTGAGCGATAACTCATTGCCTAAAGCCACACAGTGAATTTATGGCAGATGGCTTGTTTTAACCTACAGGTCCTGGATCCAGAACTCAATTCTTTCTCAAAAAGACCATGATGGTTTTGGGGAGACATCTGCTTTTGTAAATTTTTGTAAAGTGAGACTGATAGCAAGTTCCAAAAATCACACAGTGCATCTAGATCCGCTTGTCCAAGCATATGTACAGACAGACACAGTAAGTGGTGAGAGGAGAAACAGATGTAATTTTTGGATCATTGTGCAACTTCCACCCATCTCAGCTGCACGATTACTTCATGTGTGGTGTGATTAAAGCCTCACAAAGTGCGTTTGGCTCTTTGGAGGCAATCAGACTTTCTTCCCACCTCTAGAAGGCATCTGTTGTTCTATCACAGGTGGGAGGAAAGGAACATAAGAATCTAGCGAAATCTGTGTCGCGAAACACAAAAGGATTTGCTTGTGTATTGTTTGAAGGTGGTGATTACCTCTCAATGCACCCTGTATTTTACATGCCATTGCCACATCTGCACTGTAATTTTCTCAGCTGTGGAGACATTTACACATATAGCTCATTTTTTGTGTGCAATTGAGAGATAGCGCCGGAACGGCCTCACAATTGTTAGTGATCAAGCTGATGGCTCGTTGGAGATCGTTCTGCTATTGTAATCACAGCTCGCCTGCCCTGGCAAAGCCTATCCAGCTGCATGCCTGACCTTGCCTCGAATGAACTTATTCATCTGGGCGGTTCATATTCATATCACTGCATTCTTTCTCAGTAGAATTTCAGATGATGGAATCCCTCTCCATTACATTGACTTTGTAGTCAGTTGGCAAAGACTACCCAGAAGTCTAGAAGATCAGTGAGTTGGTCTTCAGAGTCATGCAGATAAAGGTTACCAGTCTCTGAAACAACTGGAACATGAACGCATGTTTAATATATGTAGAAGCCTCATGTTTCCAATCTTTATATCATCCCTTGCTTTCTGTTAATAGTGTCTTCTAAAAACCTGTATTTGGAGGCCCGCTGGCTTGGCCCCAGGACCATGGGTGCTGACATTACATGTACACACCAGCAGGCATGCTGATGTCAGACGCCCGTCGCGGTGGGTTTGCTGGTTTCAGGCGCTGAAATTTGTGGGTGTCCGGCCCCTACATTGGGATTTTTGTGGGGGCTGGGGAACTCAGGACCTCAGGGATCTAGAGCCTATGCGTCGTGGGCACCTTCAGAGTATGGTCAGCATGTCAATGAGGAGCAGGACCTTTACTGTGGTAGCCCCCAAGAAGAGGGTGCCATACATCCAGAATCTTGGGAACTCTACCCAAGCTTGTAGAAAGCCTCTCAGAATAGGTTATAATGAGTCACATCATTTCAGGCCTTAGGGCAAGGATTCAAAACCTGATTATCTGTGAAGGCATTTTCTTCAGTGAATGGGCATTTTGCATATGGCTATTGTAACCAATCTTTTGATTTGCTACTGTTGATCCTGATGTTCAATTTTAGTAGTCTCTCTCTCCCTCTTTACTGTTTTTGATAGTGTGTTTTAGTTTTGGAATAGCTGTAATCCACTTGAGACTATAGGAAAATGTGGTAAATACTCTTAAATATAAAAATTAAACAACAACGTGATCTAGGGAGTTATTGAAATTCTGGGGATGAGTAGCTCTGCTGACTATCCCCAAAGGACCTTGTTTCTGAATGACACACAGAATTTGATGATGTATTTTCTCCTTTCTGGTGTATTTACGAGGCACTGAGTGAGAACAGATACAGATCTGAATAACTGTAAGCTCTGTAATGAGGAATCATATCACTTCAAAGGTTTCTATGACACCTATGGTTTCCATCTTTGTGCCACTTCTCACATCTTAGATGGCTTCTTCAGGTGTCTGTTTCACTGTACATGAAGTCTGAATTCTACAAACTTACATACTGATGCATCATTACTGGTACACTTGTAGGTGGGGGTCTCACAACTGGTTACAGCTGCATTGTAAGTATATGTGCAGTTACCAACTTGAGTTTGTCTCTGTGTAATATGAGAAATGGCCATAATTATACAAGGTTTTGTTAACATTATGGCTAATTAGGCCTTGAGATCAAACAATAGCACTTGTATCTGTGCACAAAGCTACATAAAGAGGACATATGGCGATTTATTGCCGATAATTTCACTTTCATGGAATTCTCTCACCTTGGAGTTTTGCCACAGTGTAAGACTGAACATTTTCTGCAACTATTGCCACTTGTCTTGCTGTACAGCCACACATGCAGAGGGTTCCTCATCTGTAAAAAGGAACATACAACGGGAAACACCTTTGTTCAGGAGCAATGTTCCCTTTAGAAGAAGAAAATGAGAAACTTTGCACCGTTTTGTGTGGGATCAGAATATAAGGCATGGCAGGTTACTATAAAAAGCGAACTCTTGGGAAACACTGTAACTCCCTGGTGTAAAAACCCAGGTTCAGTTCCCAACATCCCAAAGTAGGGCTTGGAGAGTTCCCTGTCTGAAACCCCAGGGAAGTGCTACTAAGACATGTAAGTTCTTAGGCATCTATGGTGGAGGAGGAAACTATCATTAGCCTTAGCACTCCTCTAAATAGAGAAGACCCTAAACAGAGACAGACCCTAGCTCCAAAGTTTTTCTAGCACAAGTTTGAACTTGGGAAACAGCCATACTTGGTTGAAACCACAGTTTACCTATCTGAGCACGTTTTTAAGACGAGCGTGGAATTGCTGTGGCTGCGTTTTTCCTTCCAGTCCAAAGAGTCCTATCGTGGAGGATTACATCAATTTATTTCATAATTGGTCTGTGTTTCCAAGGTAGAGTGAAACTCAGCCAGGAGGAGACAGAAATCCACTCTGTGTGGCCAAAGCTCTCGGGGGTGGATAGATTGGCCTTGTGGTTCAGAGTTTCGCAGGATGGGTACAGAGTTTGTGACACAGCTGTAGCAGAAATATGTTTCAGTTCCTGGGGGGAGAGTATCACATCTTTCCTTATGACCAGTGAATTGTGCGTTCTATCTGGGGATGCCTGAAAGATTCAATCTTTGCAAATTCCAACCTGATCTGTACTTCCAAACCAATGTGATGATCTGAATGTAACTTTTCACTGGAAATGTTGCAATGCCATTCTCAATTCAAACTGCATGTGAAATGCATTTTTTGATTTTAAACTATTTAAATGTGATTTCTCTTGTGTGTGTGTGTGTTGTTTTTTTTAAGGAGAGTGAAAACATGTGAAAGTGTCATGGAGTGGACATGGGCAGATTCATCCATCCTGACTTTTGTCATTCCCTCTAATAGTGAGCTGTAGTGACTGATTGCCTATTACATGGAAATGCACCAGGCACACTTAAAATAAAGGAATTAGTTCCTGCATATTCCTTAAGCATGCAGAAATATATTAGACTGCAAGTTAAAAGAAATATATTTTTAAACAAACAAACATGGGCAGGACAAAAATAAATAAATTATGAGCTCCCAGGCGGTATGGAATGCTGATGACTGTTTAGCAGAAAGAGGAGTCACATCTTCACCTTACATTTAAAGCACTGAAATTAGGTTTGAAAGAAGCATTTTATTGTAATCAATAAAATAGGATGGGGTTGCCGTATTTCAGCGATTAGGGTTGGAATGTTTGGGTGGTTTTCCACCCGGATGCTGCTGCCGGATACGTCGGGGAAATTACGGATGTATGGCAACCCTGAAATAGGATGTGGTGTGTGCTTGGTGAGTGGCTGGGGAAACCCAGCCAGATGGGTGGGGTACAAATAAATTATTATTATTATTATTATTATTATTGGTTGTGGTTTGAAAAAGTGCACACACCTAAAACAGTTGGCACCCTTGGCCTATAAAACCCAGATTGCAGGCAGATCATAGCCTTCTTCAGGTGTTACTTCACAGCAGGCATCAACATGTGGCAGGGGCAATGGAGACGATTCCCTTGGTTCCACCTCCTTCACCATCATTTTGTTATTATTATTTATTGAATACCTGGCAGTATCAGGGTGGTTCACAGAATAAAATCAAAATATAAAATTACCAAATACATAATCAAAATAACAACAACAACCCAATAACTCCCCCCCAACCCCCCCCCCCAGTACATTTTAAAAGGGCATAGGATGTCAATTTTTAAGCAAAGGCCTGCTTCAAAATGACTGTTTTTGCCTGGCAAAAGGTATATAATGAGGGCTTCAGGCGAACTTCCCTGGGGAGAGCAGTCCACAGACAGGGAGCCACTGCAGAGAAGGCCCGTTCTCGAGTTGCCAACCTCTGGACCTCTCGAGG